GCTAATTAAGTTTTTTCCAAAGGGATTTTATAGGAAAAACATCCTCTGGTATCTTGCACATATGCCTGGTAAGGTACCTCAATTTTTTGCGAGTAAACATGTTAAAGTAGCAATACTTCAATGACAAAAATTATATATTATTGAGGAACGTATCGTCTGTCCTTAACATAACAGTACCCTTTACAGGCTTATTTATGTTGGTGAAATCAAAGGTTCACTTAACAAAGGAATATCGGAACATAGATTTCAAATTAACAACGGGGACCAGCAGCTTCTATATACAAGCATTTTAAGGAAGAGATTGCAAGGGTCCATGAAAAAAATCCGCTCTATGAATTTTTCTCATTTTTACATATAATTTGCCTTACGTTAATGGTATCATAATATGAAAATGTCAACCAAGGTCATCAGGGTTATAAGAAAGATATGGTTGCCATGGTAACCACCGTTTTTCAATATTTTGATATTTATGTAGTGGAATTTTAAGTATGCCATACAGGTATCAAAATTGAAACAAATTAAATAATTTTCACCAGATATTAAATAATATGCTTTATATTCATTGAAAATAAAAATTGTATCGGAAACTATTGATAGATGTAGGAATGCCACAGTTGCTTTGGGGAGTAGTCATTGTAAATTTGCAGTAATATTTTCACCCCAAGAGCAGTTTTCAACGTCTTGAAAAAAAATTGCCCAATGAATTTTCCTAAAATTAATATATTTTGTAACAATTATTATAAGTGACTTATGGTTAAAATATGAAGTGGGGTCATCACATTCTTTTTTAAGCTACATGCATTTCAATACCCCCCCCTTCCTAAAATATTAAAAGATTTCATAAATTTTAATCTGATGGTTTGTTGCTGAACGTTTAATATGCATAATCTGTTAAAAAAAACTATAGAAAATACGTATAGATTAATAAATATTTTTTTTCTGAAATCTTGTGGTGGTTGCTCATTTTATACGTAGAGCAGAATGATAAAAGTATCATGTACCACCTGATACGAACAGAAAGTACACAAAAAGCAATATGCATATTTTTTTTTTTAATTTTCCCATCTCCAAAATATTCATTCCGTTATCATATCAATATAGATATAATTATACATTCTAAACCAGTGCACAGTGGTCCAAGGGCCAAATTGTTCATGCTCTGAACACTCATCGAGTTCTCTGCACTGTGACTTGGAATCGGAAGGGGGGGGGGGGACACATTGAATGAATAGCTTATTTCAGAGAACTTGTACCTGCAATATATACCGTATATAAAAATCCTAGCTATTATCTTATTTGACAGATTTTAGTGATTTGCTATTTAATATTTACATTAAATTTTGCAAATATTTTTCCTTCAGATTCATTGCAAATTAGAAAACAATTCATTTTCTCATGAACTAGGTAAGCCTACACATATCTCCATTGTGACGTCATAATGCCACACTTGACGTCAAAACTATCATGCAAACTGTTTTGTTTCAAAAATAATCGCGTTGAATGACATTTATAAAGTGCTTCATGCTCACGCGGTTCATGAAATATGCTGAGGTGAAGCGTCTTTGTTCATGTCCTCCTGAATTTTAAAAAATTGAATTCATTTTTCAAATATATTCCCGTGAGCATGATGAGTTGAAATGTTTTTTTTAAATGTAACGTTATGTGCTCAAAATAATTTTCTCTCTCTGGTATACCTGGTACCTCCGTAGTACCTCGATTGTCAGAATTAACTTCTCTTAGTTTCGTCTGTTATTCTTACACGCGTATTTTTTGCTAGATTTGTGAAGAAACTTTTCTTTTCTGTCAGAAGAAGTGTGTTTAAGTTTCAATTTTTTACCAAATACGACGCATAAAACATTTTACCACAACAAATGCTTCCGCAATATATGCGTCGACGATTCATTGTTTACATGGTCGATGTAAGAGTTGAAAATGCTAGAGATCTTACTGAGGAAAACAATTTCCTCTGCGATATTTTTAAAAATACGTTCATGTCAAGCATGCGACCTCAAACTGGTCTATACACGTATACTAGTATATGAAAATCGCATACGTTTATCTGTTCATCCATATAGGCCTATATTCATTATTTTCACTTATAGAAAATCACGCTGTCTGAAGCTTCTAGGAAATGAATATCTATTCATAGATGTAGATCCTATAGTAAAGAAACCGATTTCAAATAAAATTCTAATATCTTAAATAAAACTAGAGGACATAAAGAGCCAGACATGAATTAAATTTATTCATGAAATAGATTTCAGTGTTCAGAACTACGGCAAAAGGTAGACATGTTGAAAGAAAAAAAAACCACAGGGATAAAAAAAAAAAAAAATTGCGTCGACGCTCACAAGCACTCTGCAAAATCACATCTTTATCTTATAATTATTCTTTCTCTGTTTTAAGAATATTGCCACGAAGATCTTTTGTCATGGGCGTAATCATAATCACGCTCCTTATTCAGCTGTTATTCCGGAAATGGTTACCGTTAATCTTCTTTTTTTAACCATCACATGAGTCGATCACGTGACGCCTTGCAATCGCTTCCTTAATTTACCTGATCATTCCATTATCTTGTGAATGAAAGTTAGAATTCTAGAAAAGATTTATCATCATACTAATAGCCCATCACTGAGTATACCTTTTCATATACAACGAGAAGAATATTGGATAAGAAAACTAGGCATGGTCTTTCCATCTGGTAGCAATGACAATATCGATAGTGAAGGAATCTTTCAAGCTCACTGTATAGCAATGTGAATGTGATGGGACCTTTTAACAGAACACAGACACGAAAGCGAAGTCTGGACATCGGTCTTACAATAAACGTATTATAGACGATGCCTTTGTTTCACAACTACCTTATGTAAATTAACAGTTAAGCCTTCATCGCATTCGCATAAAATTTTACTCTGTCCCTTTTAAGTTTTAAATAGTCTTTTTGTAAAAGTCAAGGAAAGTCCATATTTTGATTCTGTATAGTGTTGGGGAGGTCCGTCCGTCCGTCTGTCAGTTATGCTTTGGGGTACACATCTCGTTTCCGCAACTCCTCTTATACAACTGAATAAAAATTAATGAGACTATCACAGAATCTTTGTTACATAGTGCCATTGTGCACCTCTTATTTTACTTTTTGATCGGACACAAAATTCGGGTTTCCAATGGCACAGCACTGAACCTGCCATTCTTTCGTTAATATTGAGGGGTACCAATCTCTTATCCGCAACCACTCCTATACCACTGAATAGAATTTAATGATACTTTCACAGAATCTTACATACTGCCATCGTGCACCTTCTATTTTATCTTTTGATCGGACACTGACTGCGGGACTCCCATAGCAAAACATGGACTTTGACATTATAAACATATGGGAGGCTGGAGTATTATTCTGTGAGCTAAGTACTCACAGTACCTCTTGTTTCTTTTTGTTCTTTTTGTAACCGTAATATGCAACATTTTTAATAGACAACTTTGTTTGCATCTGATTTGTCGAAATTACTCTGCCAAGCAATCATGTTTAGTTTACTTTGCCTGATCAAAAATAAAAATGGCAATAGATATATATAACAAAATATTAAAAATTCTTCTCGAGATTGAGAGTTTTAAGAGAGCAAAATTCTCAAGATAGAGAGTAAAATGCGAAAGTCGAGTTAATATGTGGTACTTGTGTTGATAAAGTAACACATTGTTATCGACCTAAATCAATGTACATAATGACTTGAATTTCTTCTTGCTGAATACTTCTTTTACTTTGCCTAAACATATACCTGTGAAGTTGTACAGTGTATTTGATTTTGTGATCAATAGTTACATTTTCCTGACTAATTCAAATTTCAAAGGCTAAATCCTCAAGTGATCAGCATATAAAATATAGCTTTTAAAAGGGAGAATTAAAAAAAAGATTCAATGGGTGCCGAAATAGGAGTTTTAAAGATGTTCTTTCTTGAGAGTTTTAATGTACTTGATATCTGATTGAGATTTCACTTCAACTCATTCGTTCAGCACAAAAAAGGAGATATGAGGTAACTGGAAGTGGTGAAATATTTGTTCATTTTCACTTTTATCTCCAGCACTGGCAAGTTCGACCTCGATCTAAGCTTAATTTTGGGAAAAAATCTTTTCAAAGATTAAACCTACCTTTAGGATATCTTGTCTATAACACTTAGTTCCTGCAGAATTAAAATCTGTTTTGTTCTGCCATCTTTGGTTGATTTTTTTTTTTTTGAGATTATTACCACTTCAAGTAACAGCAATGTACTTAAGTTATTAACATGAGAAGATCTCTTTATAGGTATACCATAGTTTAAGACCTGTTCATAAATTTCTAGTTAGACCTTTGCACATTGTTATCCTATCTATTTACTGGTCTTATCTGTTCAAAAATTTAATGTACTCAAGAAAAAATATCCTATTCCTACAGATCTCTAGGACAATTTACTCAAAATAAGAACTTTTTTAAGGGCTATTAATTTTCACCCAATGTAAGAGGTTGTATTTCTGTCATCTAAATGTATACAGAAAAAAAATGTTTCACTATTTATTATGGTTTCCTATCGTTTTTGATACTTCTTTCGTGCTAGTATCATGCATTATATCTTAAGTTTCAACCGCATTCTTTCAGAAACTTTTCTGCTTTCATCTGAGTTGAATTATTTTGCTTGGTTAGTATTTCCTCGTGTAAAGCTAATCCTAAAATTTCATCAGCTTTATACCTAGAGCCAGATATTTGAAAATTAATTAATTGTAAGTGCATCGAAAATAATCAACACAAATTAAGAAAGAGTGAATCAAACGTATCGTAAACTCGAACAAAATTAGTTAAAGTGAGCAGAAAATTATGATCTCAGGACAAGATTGATATACTCTGCATTATTAAATGTATACGTACGTCAATAAACAACATCAATAATTCAAGTCTCCGTAGAGCGCTGATGCAGACAGATTATCTAGTCTCCGAAGGGAGGCCAGGTGTGCTGTTCAGGCGTTCTCGGGAGTTATCGATCGAAAAGTTTCTGGATTGAAGTGTGTTGCACTGACGATTAAAATATCTGGACCTTCAAGGGGATGACAGAAAGCAAGCCGAGGATAATGATATCGATGATGTGAAGACAGTGTTTTCTTAAAGAACCATAAACCCTCTACGAATATGGCTCGTATGGATAAAATACTTGCTAATTAAAAAATGGATATCCAAAAAAGCACTCCGGTCATGGACACAGCACAAACGACCTTTGACCCTCGAATAACAGAGGAACTGGACAGTAAGCCTCACTTCCGGTCTCTTTGGCGGGAAAATTGGGTGTCGGTTTTGACAGATTGTCTGGTGTTTGGAAGTTTCGGAATGGGTGTGGCAATACTTGGACCTACATTGTTTGACCTTGGGTGTCAGACAAGCGCCAGTTTACGGGAGCTTCAATGGGTTTTCTTTGTACAGCTTCTCTTAACCTTAGTGGGCTCAGTTTCAGCCGGGTGTCTCGCACAACGGTATGTTTTTTAAATTATTTTTTTAAATATTTCTTTCAGGTATATATATGAGACTGTCATTAATGTATTTGTTTTCGATGAACACAAACCTACCAAATCGATTGTCAGCTGCTGGGAACAGAAAATGTGTCAGAAATGTATCTATGTAGTAGATTAATTGTTATTCATTTAACTCATAGCTTTATTTCTGTCGCCATGATTTCGACAAGTTAGAATTATTAAGAAAAAAAGCTTTTACGTCAAAAAAGGTGAGCAATATGAAAACCAATTTCTGATTTGGCCTTAAAACTTTATTTTATACGAAACATATCAAAAGTAGAAAAATATAGTACTGTTTGGAATTTTTAATAGCTTTGTTAAAATTAGAGAACAAAAAGAAAGAAATATTTTGTTGATTCATACAATTATATAAATATTTTACATCATGTATTCAAACATGCATGAGGCATTAACAAGGGAGCGCTATGAACACACAAAAAGAGTGTGTTGGCAAGATATTAGCAAATCAACGGTTTTGTTAATATTTTACAATCATAAGTTTTATGGAGTATCAACTGCAACAGATAGTTTAATAATTTCTAGATCTCGTGCTCAAGTAATTTTGTCTTGACACTGTGTGCAAGATTATAAGATCTAGCTATCAATGTGTAACTCGAATATAGCAATGTTATTACAACAAACAAGTAACTTAATAGACATTGATTTTTTAATTCTTTTTTTCTGCATAAACCTCCAACACCTTAATGACGATGATAAGGCAAAAAGACAGCCGCTCTGCAAGTTTCAGTAACGGTCTGTTTTATATGGAAAATAGTTTGGAAAAGACACTGCCATATTTGTTTTCAAAGTTTATATATTTGTATCTAATCAATGAATGCATGATGTCGAATAGAAATGAGGGATAGGAGGATATTAATTCTGGTGATTTTGACAAAAGCCAATCACAGATGTCTATCTCTATCCATCAGCTATAACCAGATATAACACTGACTGTAAGCTTCTGTAATGAATTGGAGAAATATCATCCTAATTGTCTTGCTGTACATCAAAGCAACAAACAGCATTATTAATCATGTACATGTTTAATACTAATCTCATAGTGGCCATAATGCCTTATTACCGATAGTGTTGAATCATTTCAAAAATTACCAACGGAAGGAGTTTTACTTATTGAAATGGCACTAAAGATAATTGAGAATCTAAAATTAATCTCTCTCATTTTCTCTCCCTCTCTTTCTCTCTCTTTCTCTACATTTCTCTGCTTTTGCAAACACTTATAGAATTTTCCTATAGAACAGTTAATGAAAATGACCCCCTCCTGCTGCATACAAACGTACAGTGTGAATCTATACTTGGTTTTATGTAGGTAATGATAGTTTTTAAATCATTTTTCAGGACACGTCTGTACTGTGTTAATTTTATTTTACTATCGTGTTAAAGATTTCGTTGAATGATCAAAGAGTTAGTTGAAATCATAAAAGCAGCTTTATACTTAGGATTCATTGTACAAATAATCGTTAAGACCAAGTCATACTACATGCGTAATTATCTCTCGGAAGGGGGAAATCGTGTTTGTTATTAGAATTATAATAAAGACCGACAAGGAAACAAAATTTGTCTTTAAATTTTATCATCGTGTTTCAGTGAGAGTAAGTTTGTCATCTGATTTTGAAAGAAAGTTAATCAGATTTGTTATTGAGTTCAGTGTAAAAAAAAATGTCTACACTAACTATATTTCTGAACTGAACGCGAATTTTGTTGTGCAGCAGATCTAATCCATGAGAATGCATATGTGCAATGTTTACACTGAGTATTATCATAATTACTAGTAGCCAAGAAATGGCAAAGCTGACTGCGTGGCTCTGTAATAAATTGGTGCAATATCCCGTGATTGATTTGCTGAGCATGAAAGACCCAAACAGTAATATTAATTGTGTACACATTTCTTACTTATTGTGGACTTGAAAATTAATATAATAATTAATAGTAAATGGAAAAATTCTAATTGCTGATAGAACTGAACATTTAGAAATTACCAAGCAACGTACCTTTTTTTGAAATTGCATTAAAGATGATTTAAGTATTTGTAATATTTATAAATGCAATAATTGATTCTCTCTCTCTCTCTCTCTCTCTCTCTCTCTCTCTCTCTCTCGTGGAAATGAACCTCATTATATATATACAGAGCTTATGTAAAAACATAGATAGATAAATAATAAAAATAAAGAAAACTTCCTTTACATTGTATCATTTTTCCTAATTTTTAAAGACACCCTAACAAAAAAATACTAAAATAGTTAACTGAAAACTTTGATTTACTATAGTGATAACTTTGACACTTTGATTTACTATAGTGATGATTTACTATAGTGATATCTTTGACACTTTGATTAACTATTGTGATAACTATGAAAACTTTGATTTACTACAGTGATCACTATGAAAACTTTGATTTACTATACTGATAACTTTGACACTTTGATTTACTATAGTGATCACTATGACACTATAGTGATCACTTTGAAAACTTTGATTTACTATAGTGATAACTTTTACACTTTGATTTACTATAGTTAACTATAGCATTTTTTTTTTGTTAGGGAAATTCAGAAGGGTAATAAAAAGTTAAAGTTCCGTACGAATTTTGTATAGTTTGATCACATTTCTGCAATTTTGATTCAGAATGCGAAATTCTAATACTCTAGCGACAGCTTTAATCTATAAGAAAGAATACCTTCAAAGTTAAGCTAATTTTTGAAAGAATTCAAAATTGGAAAAACATACATTTTAGTTAAATGTGCAGTATATATTTACATATATCCTTCAAGATTATAAGGTCTTTTCCAAAATAAAAAAAAGTGCTCAGAAAGTATCAACTAGCCTGTTCTAAAGCAAGATTACTAATTCTATAAGTAAGTCCTAAGGAAATGAATGCCTTGCCTTGAGGGGTACATTTGTATTGCAAAATCTAGACATGTAAGGGTAACATTCGGAATTCGAATTCTTTTCGCCATAATCAAAAACGTGAATAAAATGCAAAAATAAGGAAAGCGAGTAGAGAATACTACAAATACTGAAGTAGTGAATACCATCATGGGTCTGCCTATGAAGGGTGGTTAAATTACGTTGAGTGGTCTCTTTGAACGGAGCTATAATCGAAAAGTATTGAAGAGGGACAAATAAAAAGACGGAATGATATGACGGTCAACTATAAATGCCCCAACCATAAACAAAAATAATGCTAGGAAATTTGAGTTTGATATTTATATTTGTTCTTTTCGTTACAGTATTTTATTGATTTGCAATGTTTATAGTAGGGGAAAAATAGTATATAGTTGTCTGTCATTGCAATCTAAAACTGAAGATAATTAATGAACAGTGACCAATCTCATAAATTTGGTACATTGTAAGCAAAAGGAATCATGAAAGGAGCAAAAAACACCGACTATTGGAAACAAAAGAGGTGGGATCAGGAGCCCAGTAGGAGTAAACATCTTTTGTTGACCGGTCACACCGACCGCGAGCCATATGTATTGGTCAGGTATACAGAGTACTCCGAGGTCAAATTTAGTTTAAAAGCATAATAAATCAAACATGTCAGGTGAATACGACCAACTATAGGTTGTTGTTTTTGAAACAAGGTCATTTTAACGACTGTAGAATTTGCTAAAATTCTGTGCTTTAAACGGGATTGAAGAAATCTATGTTACAGCAACTTATTTGTCAGCAGTTTGCCTCGGTTTTAAAAATTGATCGTTTGCCCTTGCGTATCGAATCAGTTGGGAGACATAAACACCATATGCATGTGATGTATGGATATTAATACATAAATAAGGGAAGTTAAAGATGGAGAAGCTGAAGTCATCCCGTTTGTCACATATGTTAGTTAGTAGTTGCACGAAAAGATTTCAATTTTAGCTTCATGTCTAAAAATGAAGCTAAAATTGAAATCTTTTGAAACAATTTGAATTTCAAGCATTTCAATTTTATTCAAGGTTCTTTGAAGTCTAAGAAACGGTATTGTAAAAAGCTGACATTTGTACCCCATAAAAGTACAAAAAAAAAAAAAAAATACAATTTTAAGTCGCCCGCGTGGCGCAGTGGTTAGAGCGTCTGCTCTAGAGTCGCGAAGTAAGGAGTTCATCCTTACGTCGCGGGTTCGAATCCCACTGTGGGACGTGGAGACCGGTCCTTCGGATGAGACCTATAAACCGAGGTCCCGTGTCGCAGTAGGTGCTGGCACGAAAAAGATCCCTCACTGCTCAATGGCCGTAAGTGCCGAGCATAGGACAAAATTTGCAGCTCTCCACCGGCAAGTGGTGGCGTCTCCATATGAGTGAAAAATTCTCGAGAGGGACGTTAAACAACATACAAACAAATACAATTTTAAAGAAATCAAATTTCCTTTACTTTAACCTTAGATACCAATGTTTGTTGATTTGGAAATAGAAGTGATGTAGATGTATGATGTCTTACAATGATAACACAAGTTTTTTATACTAGGTATTATATAAGAATTAAAGTAAATAAAAGAGCTGAAGTACCGTATAAGTATACAAAATGCAATAATCTCCAAATGCCTGGATACCTATTAGTTTTCTAATCCTACAATATATTTGTTGGTCAATTTTCAAGTAGAAAATGAATAGTTGTTGCTTTCATTCGCGTTTCCTGAAAATATATTTGAGATTTAATAATTTTCCCTATATAATATTGTTAACTATAATTATGAAGAAATACATGGGTAAACACACATTACTTTCAGAATTCAGATACATTTTTGGGAAATTTTCAGTAACTCCTGATTTCCAGAACCTAAGGATCGGACTACCTTAATAAAAATGAGAAAACTCATGAATCAACCAACTTTGTGACCTTCCTGTAGCCCCTGACTATGCAATCACTATGCTCATTTTACTACAAGGATGAACAAAGCTTTTTCATCAATAAGCATTGAACCATTATCAGAGATGCCTCCCAAAAAGGGGCCAGAAAATGGT